GGGGTTTGGAGCGAGAAGTCTTAAAGATAAGACTGCAACTGCTTGAGATTGTCTATTTTTTTCTGTATTCGCTACTACACAATAAAATCGCATTGATCTGAAATACGTCATCCCAAATAACGTTTGAAAGAAAAGAACTATTATGAGAGGAATAATAATCTTTTGTAAAGATTTGATGCTTATGATGTATATTTGATGTATTGATTTACTACTGCACTAAACTTCTATGAGCTAATAAAGTGGATAAACATATCGCACCTCTAATAGAAAAGTGACACAAGTGCGAAATCGTCATTTTTCAGCTAAAAGCTGATATGAGGTTACCAAGAGGTACTGCTACTATTCTGAAGTTGGTTTTGAATTAGTTCAATTACTGTCTGCTAGAAGGTGAATATTTGGTATAATCTATAAAGAGTATTACAGAACTACGAAACTTAAAACTGCAATTTCTGAGAAATCAGAAATTCGCACTTGTGTCACTTTTTTTTGGAGGTGCGATATGAAATACTTAGCGGTTTGCTAAGCGTATGTGTAAGCGTATGCGTAGGCGTAGGCGTATGTGTAGGAGTATGTGTAAGCGTAGGTGTAGGCATAGGTGTAAGCGTAGGTGTAAGCGTAGGGGTAAGCGTAGGTGTAGGCTTAGGTGTAGGCGTAGGTGTACGCGTACGTGTAAACGTAGGCAGAGACGGACCCCAAAATAAGAAAGGGGGGGGGCAGCAACGCCCACGAAATTTGCGGCACGGGTAACCACAGCCTAAACGATTAACAGCCAATCCCTTGCCCATGCGCCTAAGGTCTTCTATTGGTTGGACGCGCGTGTCCGGGGTCAGGCGCGCCTCCTGACAAACCCATTGTCCCCTGGCCGCCTGCGCTTCGATTACCAATACCACGGCTGACCTGGCCCGGTCGGGAGAGCGGGAATCACCGGCGCTAGGGTCGCTGAGCCTACGCCACTCCACTGGCCGTTAAGCCTTCGAAATTTCACATTCTTTCGTACTAGCTCTCGGGCATTTACGCCAAATACGTTCGTCGCTTGTTGAATTTATTGTAATCAATTCAACAAGCGGTGATGGTATTTGGCATAAATGCTCGATGTCCTAATTATTAATGAGTAGAAGAAATGTGCTAACGCTCAAGTTGTAAAAATATTTCTATAGATATTCTTGAATACGTTATCGAAAAAACATGATGGTTATGTACACGTATTGTACAAGAATGTAGGGGTAAGCGACGAGAAGACGTGATTCATAAGGCGATTGATGTACCATGGGAATTAAAAATGAGTTTTCTGAAGAAACATGTAAAAACCGTCAGCACTTTTTTGAGGGTTTTTCTCATGTATACCCTGATTTCACAGACTTTCTTAGAAAAAAGTATCGTACATTTTTGTTGCACTTCCAATTTCTACGTATAATTTCATTAATATTATTATCTTAATTTATAAATTAAATAATTTCTATCGATTTTAAACACGGTACAGTGAACATGACACTATAATATAAATTTGAAAATAATATTTCTTCATTATCAATGCACGCCTTTTTTTATTCAAGGGAGAATACAGAAAATTGTTATTTTATCCATCCTACGATCACCATCATACGAAAATATATGGACTTTGTGATTCATGTTTCTTAAATGATGCAATTAATTCCAATTAATAATTTTACCAAAAAAATAAAAGTGTAACAAAAAAGAATGAACAATAGAATACCTTCTCTTAGAAATAAATTTAGGACTGGGCATAAATATAGATCTTTGGTGGAAAAGATGTAATACAGAACATATTTACGCTATTCAGAACTGTATATAAACAAATAATTTAGATCAATACGCACAAAGGATAGGATTCAATAAACAGGGAAAACTAAAAAAATAAAATAAAAGACATACAAAATTGATGAACCGTGAAAGAATGCGGATTGCGAAATATGTTGGCTTTAGTGAAGCTTGTTACCTGGCGAACGTTTTGCAAATCGAACTTCTCAATGAGAAGGTTGTAATGGCCTTCACCTTCATCCCGCGTCCTTCCGGGTGGCTTGCCATGTCAGCTGGCCCGTGCACAATCACATTCGCCAGGCCATCGTTTTTGCGCCGTCCCGAATCGCAGCCCACTCCGCTGTCGCTCACTTGCTCCAACAGGAGGCGCAGCTGGAGTTCTGGAGCAGCGGACGGCACAGGGCGACGGAGGCGGCGGTGGAGGCGGAGGAGGCGTACCCCAGGGCTCAGATGCGCGCGGTAAGGTCCTCTGCAGTGCTCATTGCCCTGTCGTTTGTCTCTTGGAGTGCTCACAACGAGTCGTAGTCGTGTACGTCTCCCGAGTTAGTCTACTGAAGTGATGGAACCGGGGTAGGCACATCTGCTGGAGTTCAAAGATACAACAGCAGCTTATATATTATATTTATTTTATCATTATTTCATTACTACTTCGATAACACTATTGAAAGATTTACGGTTATTAGGTCTTCAGGGAATTGAATTGTTTCAGGTACGTGCTTTTCGTTTTGTTGTTCGGACACAGACTTACCTCGAGTGTGTTCGCTTTTAAATAGATCACGAGTAATATATCATTCACTTGTCATTACAGTTTTCTATTTTGTTACGCAAATCTGAATCGTAACTGACCAGATTCCAGAACACGAAGATGGTGTAGTAAAATGAGGCGTAGAAACTGTAGTGTGCAATTGTTGTAACGATGGGTACTCTTCAAACGTGAAGTCCAGACTGTCATGCAAAACGAGGTTAATGCTCGACTTTCTGAAATGATTAACTATAAAGACTCATTATTGTGAGAGTGAAAATGTTGAACGTGCTAAGAATAAGAGCCATGATTTTCACTGTTCGTAATTAAATGATCATAATTCCAGATGATGCAAATTTCATAAACGTTTTCCATCCAGTAGACCTTAACTTATTTTCACCAGTAAAATTTTCCCCCATACTCCGAAAGAGTAAGAACTATTTTAGCTAGGAAAGTTACAGTTTATTTTTGAAGATACTTAATTGCTTTTAAAATTATAGTAAACGGAATAATGAACACAATACAAATAAATCAGCTATACAGTCGTGATAAATGAAGTTACTCTCTTAACCTCGTTTGTTTAACATACTGATCGTGCGATTAATGATTTGCTCACGGATTGCGTTCGTAACAGATGAAAATTAACAACTAATGACATGAAACAAAGTTTTATAAATGAAAAATACATAATATAACTAATGTTTTAGATTTACTTACTTTTTGTAACATTCTGTTATGCGGACCATTATACTACGTTTCACGACTGCGAACTTCAAATAACATAATACCACAATTATTGCAACAGGCAGGCCGTGCGATTGTCTATGATGCATGACGATGTCTTGCACGATTAGTAATGGCGTATAATTGAAATAGTTATGAAGTTTAAGGCTTTAATGGCCGGGGACCCAATTTTGTTTTCCAGTCACGAAGAGATTGCGTCTTTAGCCGTTTCGTTCTTCATTCTCGAAGACTTCTTCAGGGCCGCTAAGGATGTAATAGAACGTCTTAACGATAATGCTTCTATGATCATTTTCGTAGTTTAGTGTTGAGGTAGGTAATTTTTCTCTGCACTGTTCAGATGATGGATTGGTGTGTCGTCCGGATGGCCGAGATCGTTAAACAGTAGTGCGTAGCGATGACGGTCTGAAGGATCGCGGGTTCGAGTCCCGCCACGGGCATGGTTGTATTTGTGTTTGTCCTTCCACCCCCTATCATGCCATCTTCAAAGTTATCATAACTTTTAGTCCAATGGTGGTCGCTAATGGCCTAGATGTAAATGCGGCCTTAAATAACAACAAAAAAAACGGGAGGGTGATCTTGAGGACGTAAAATTTTTAAGTAGTAATTTGAGAACACATCATGGCGAAATCATTCGTTTCCCGCGACACTCAAAACCGTAGGTAGGTGGCTCCGCATACCTGGGCGATGCTCCTCCGCCAACGAAACCGACGACGGTACACCCCAAAGGCTCAGATGTAGGAAATCACTGCCAATACATGCAAAGGGCTGCGTTTCACGTGTGGGATAATCAGTTAACAAGTTAAGCATGAGCCCGCTGAAGATGGATCGCGAAGCATTGCTCAGTACACGTTCATTTTACGTAGAATTTATAAATATGTAAAATTTTTTAACTGCAAATGTTTTCTTTTGATATTCAAGTTAACTGCACTTATTATACAATATTAAACCAGGAGACCCTATAACTTCGTGTGTAGTTCAATTCCTTTCGTAAAAGCTTCTTCTTAGAAGAAAAAAATGTAAGAAAGGCGTTTTCTTGGAATACGATTGTTCATACACTATGTTTAGCCCCAACTCATCTGTTACGACTCTGGTCGGTATTTTTCAGTGTTTCTCGGATAAACACCAGGAGAATGTCGGAGCAGTATCATAACAAAGGAGCCATGGACCGCGCGCGATCTTTCCTTCATCATCCATGTCCTATCCTCACCCCTTACTTACACCCACTTACACTTACATGCACTACATGTCGAGAAACCTGTCTGGAGGTTAGTACCACGCATGTCGGGAAACCTGTCTGGAGGTTAGAGCTTGTCCCTTATGGGGTGATAGGAGATATCTGGTTGGGGAAAACCCCACAAGCCCACGTGTAGGTGGGCACCGGATTTTGCCATCAATCCGGTGATCACAGCCATGTTCTAGGATAAAACACTTACTACTCCTTCGAGACTGCTATCCTTTACTGTTGACTCGCTTGGAAACACTAGCTAATCTGTCAATCCCTTGAGACTCAATCAATCCCTTGAGACTCAATCAATCCCTTGAGACTCATTCAATCAATCAATACCTTGAGAATCAATCAATCAATACCTTGAGACTCAATCAATCAATACCTTGAGACTCAATCAATCAATACCTTGAGACTCAATCAATCAATCAATACCTTGAGACTCAATCAATCAATCAATCTCTTGAGACTCAATGAATCCCACAAGAGCCGTGCTCGCCGCGTGCGCAGATGGCGTGGCGGCGGCGGCGCGGCGCGTGGGGCGCGCGCGTGGTGGCGTGGGCGGCGGTGGTGGCGGCGGCGGCGCTGGCGGCTCCACGCGGCGCCGACAAGGGCAAGAGAGGGCGCGGCAGCGCGTGGCAGTCGGCGTGCGGCTTCGCCGGCGCGCCGCCCTGCCCGTTCCGGTCGCGCGTCCGCGGCGCCTTCGCCGACGCCCTCGACCAACTCAGCGCCGAGCCCGGCGACCTCGACATCTTCGTGCCGATCATCGCGCCCATCGCGTTGCAGGTGCGCCCGCCCGTCCCACAGAACCCCTATGCACCCATTTGAAGATTAGTTAAAATCGGCGCACGGGATTGGTCAGTGTGCTTAGAGAAACAATTAGTTACGTCAACGTTTCGAGATATTTAATTTCTTTATCAGCGATAAAGTATAAACAGTGAACTGTGCATGAGGACCACGTACATTATAATAAATTCCTCATGCACTGTTCATTGTTTATTCTTTAACCCTGATGAAGAAATTAAATATTTCGAAACAATGAACAGTGCACGAGGACAACGTGCATTACAATAAATTCCTCATGCACTGTTCATTGTTTATACTTTAGCCCTGATGAATAAATTAAATATTTCGAAACAATGGACAGTGCATGAGGCCAACGTGCATTACAATAAATTCCTCATGTGCTTTTCATTGTTTATACGTTAGCCCTGATGAAGAAATTAAATATTTCGAAACGTTGGCGTAACTAATTGTTTTTCTAACCATATTGACCAATCCCGTGAACCGTTTTTAATTTTTTATTCATCAATGGTCGTGATTATACAATGGTAAACCCATTTAGTGAGAGCGTAGGCGTCCTTGCCCGGAGTCGGTAACTACTTGGGTGTCCATAGGAAGCTGCGTCTACGGCCGTCATTCTGCGACCTTCCTGCAGACATTTTGCCCCGAGGAAGGTGGCAGAATGGCGGCCGAAACGTTGCCACCTGTAGACACACGTGTTGGCACATGTGCCTAGTACGCGGCATCTTCCGGGCGGGCAAATAGTTACTAAACCATTTAGTGTTTTTTTAGTGTACTCTCTAATGTACAGTGAAACCTGATTCAACGGCCATCTCCAAAACCTCGACCACCTTCACTAGCGGTCTTTTTCATGGAACCGATTTATTTTTCGATAAGACACATGCGTCTTCCAGTGGCCATCTTAGATAGCGACCTGTGGCCAGTCACATTTCGTAGACCCACTTTTATTTATTGGTCACCTCAAGCGAGATTGAACAGTATTATAACGAGAAGCGGAAAAGTTAATCGTTGATGATTTGAGAAAATTATCGATGAGTAAATATCTTCCTGCGAAGGAACGTATTGTCAGATTACTTGGAATATAATATCATCCAGATACGCATGTCGTGTTGGGAATTACTTTCTGCTTCATCGACAGATCATTTTAATAAATATCTCTTAAACAATAACGCGTTCGTTCCTTTCTTTTCAAAGAATTCTTATGGTATGATAACCATAAGAATGTTTTCAGTCTACGAGATTCTGTTTAGTGCTCACTAACGCGGGACACTCCGCGAAACTCCGTAACATAAAAAAAAAGAAAGTGACAAGACAAGACTGTTCTTTGGTGCTTGCCAACAGGAGACAAACAATCCTAAAGACCTTGTTTAAATTGCTTTTTTCATTTAAAGAAATTAAAAATGTTAAAGAAACTCGCTTAATTTAATAGCAATTAAGACAGATTTCATTTTCGGATCCAGTAACTTCCTTACCTTGATTATGCGACCATCATTAAATAAGCGGAAGGTAGCCGCTTTGGCCAGGTTTCACTGAAGGTTTTATTTTAACTAATTTTATGGCATCGTATTAACGGGGTAAAGTAATGCAGATAGGTAGTTGTGCTATATGAAATAAAAACAATGAGTGCTTTTAGCATTTAAAAAAAATGAAACTAATCACTTCAATTGTACCAAATACATGATTTATGAATTAAACTATGGACATGAAATTGATTATTGAAATGAAGATTCTTGTGTGGTCATTTTTTTGTATGAAATAACTTTATGGATTGGCGTGACAAAAAGAAATGTATAATTCAATGAGAAACATTTAAGGTCAAGAAAACACACACCAGCATGTTTCTCATAATATTATCAATAAATAATATATTTACCGTTTTGGCCTCAAAAGCGTACGCTACTGTAGAAAGAGTGTTGTGTAATTTGTCTGTTTCGACGCAGTCTCTGTGCCACACACATTTTGTGGGCATTTCTAAGCCTTAAATCGCAGTTGTGAACTCGTGAGCCAAAAGCATCATTTTGAACGAGTGCACTGTTATTCTGTCCCCCACCTGGCGGACCTTCACACGGCTTGAAATTCGGCGCAACTGCAGAGCCGCGCGCGATACAGAACTGTCGTATTTTGCGTCCCAATTTTGTAAAATTACACTTTCTTTTTCGCTTGTATCCGTAGAAATTCTGTAACAAAACTTACAACTATCGTCATATATTTCATTCACTAGCTTCTGGAAGTCATAGAAGCAGAAAAGAAATAGTCAAAAAACCGTTGTGCAGAGACAAAGCGTTTCTCGGCAAAGTGTCATTAGAATAGTATTTTATAGAATAAAATTATAATGTTAAGCTATATTGCATGAGTACTTGTTTTGCAAACGAGCGACGTTTGGAGCGAGTTTTCAAGTTTGTACGAATGCTTTAAGGTAACATTATAAACGAGTTGCACACGTAATTTTTTGTATAACAGCATTATAAATTTATAAGAGAATCAAACTTAATTTTGCGAACCAACTTCCTTGTGACGTCTCAGGATTTTGACACCTATGCGAGAAAACAGTGGTCGGCTATTCTATTTGCCAATATTTACCACATGCTCCCCACGAATCTCTCGTTGCGATTGGCTGAATGTGTGATGACGCAATCATTCGTGCCGTAAATTGCTAATATGTCATCATTTGTGCCATTATATACACTTTTGTGAACGATTTCTTGCAACAGAAATAATCGTTCATAATGCTGGTATACAATGTTTGTAATCTTTTCCCCTGAAGTGAATCGTCCTGCATGTGTGATATATAAATAATATAAGTTAACCGAGCGAAGTGGCTCAGTGCGTAGTGCGCTGGATTCGCAATCGAGAGGTCATCCTGAGGGTCACTAGGATGGTTCGAAAATACCACGAACACCTCCAACCTCCCAGTACCCCACCTAACACCTCATGCAATCATCCTTGTCCTTTCACCTCTCATCATCACCCTGTAATAATAGTAATAATAATGATAATAATCCAATCCCTCCCTAATTGATATTCAATGCTAATAATCTTGTCTTAACCCAGGGATGAAGCTGAAAGGCTGATACCCATAATTCCACACCTTGATCTCTCCAGGATTTATAATAAAACTGGGGCTCGGAGAGAGAAATGTGTTGCGTGGTCAGTAGTGGATCATACGCAAATAATAATAGTTATTCATAAAAAAGTACTATATAATATGTTAGTCGATAAAATGCATCACTACATCCAATCCGCCTAGTCGCTTGCTGAGTGTCGCCCTCGTTTGCGTGGCAGGACCCGCAGGAACAGCCCCATCTGATCATCCTGGCGCCCCCGCCGCCGCCGCTCCTGTGGCTCGTGGAGGCGGACATGATGCCCGCGGAGAAACTGGGGAAGAAGGCCAAGGCCGAACACAACTTATCCATCAAAAGTCCGGCGCGCCGACGCTTCTTCCGCAGATATTTCCGACGCTGGATGGACTGAGCCCCGAACTGGACTTCTTCCCCCACCACGCACTGTACGCCTGGATGCTCACTTGGCGCGCTCGCCAATAGTTTGGGACTGCAAGAGTCCGTTAACTTAAAAATGTAGATAACAGAATTCATGGCATTACAGAGCTTTAATGAAGCACCAACTGAGAGAATACTTGACCGCTTGACTTTTGCCACTATTGCAAATGTAAATTTATTAATCATTTTAAAGTTAAAATTATCTTAGTTATTTTTGTGTCAACAACCTTTATCTACATTTTTAAGTTAACGGACAAGAGTTTCTTCTTTCGTCCTTGAGATACTCCACATACAATTGGTTTACGATAAACATATTTACAGCTTATGTATTTACAGATTTGTCTTTTTTACGCTTTATTGATTTATTTTGAAAATAAAACGTGCATTATCAATGGGGCAAATTATTATTTTCGATTACGGAAATTGCTGAAAGTACAGTTGATTAGACGAATAAAATGGTTCGTTATGAGAAATGCAGCATTTAATAGAGAATATTGGCACATGAGCTGAAAAGAAAATGTTTATCATAGGCACAATATCAGACTATTAGGCATCTATTGGTCCATTACAATAAAATGAGATCTTCAGAATTGAAGGCACTACAGAAATTTTATGAAACACCAACTGAGAGAATACTTGACCGTTTGACTTTTGCCACTATTGCAAATGTAAATTTATTAATCATTTTAAAGTTAAAATTACCTTACTTAATTTTGTGTCAACAACCTTTATTAATAAAACAATTGCATAGATATCTCCTCAATCATTTCGTATGTCCTCTTACTGACTAACCGTGCTCAAGTGATGTCACTGATATGTCTCTGACCAGGAGGCATTAGGATTGTACTACCGATGGTGGCTGGATTTTCGACACTAGCTATATAACTAGTAATGGAGTGGTACGGTATCTGATCGAGGATCCCCCCCCCCCGCAAGCCGACGTGTAGGTCAGCGCTGGATTTCGCCATCCGGCGGGGATGATCACCACCATATTCCGCGATAAAAACATGCACTATACTGTTTGTGAGCTTGTTTAAGGTAAGAAAGCTACTGCGATGAATACTAATTTTTTTGTACTTAAAAACGTAAAGGTATACCTCGACGTTTTTTTCGATGATTGCCGCAGCTTTTGGATTTTCTTTATTTACACTATACCTATACAGTATTTGAGTAACTCCTGGGTGTGCGATGTGAGGATGTGAGGATGTTCGAATGTTCGAATGTGCGGTACCGTCACTCACCGCTAGACCACGTCCCGTGCACCAATCGAGACATATGAGGTGTCATTCGACGCGTCACGGTGTTCTGACGATGTTCTAATGGGGTACTGATAATTTGTTTCGAATCTAGCCAGAAGATTCAAAGAAATTTCCAAACACATAGTTTTGTGTTGCCATCTTCGTGAGTATGGCGGGAATTAATTCAACGCCACCCAAATAGAACTATGCCGGTGGCGTTGATTAAACTCCAGCATCCAAAGACATCTTTCGCTCAATACGCCATAATTTTCTTTCATGACGTTGGCAACACCTATGTTGACAACTTTAAGTAAACAGGTGAAAGTTAATTTGAACAAGTGAATTGCGCAGAATATTTCATTTTAATTTTTATCAGTAGGACTAATTCCATATTTAAAAAAATGAATTTGCAAAACTCTACAAACAGTATTGACTTGGAACTTATTAAATTTGAAGAAATTCAAGTGAATACGGAGAAAACAATCTCTAAGTAATGTTGAAATACAAATGAACGTTTTTACGTTCGATTTCTCAATTTTACCTACCTAAGCGTACAAATACCGATTTTCAAACTAATTCTTCTGAAACTTAACTAATACCTTATTCACATAAACATATAAAACAGTCGCCTTTTAATGTTTATATTGATTCGCATGCAAAACAATTAAGAGCCACAGGTTAGATTGAGTTTGTGGATTTTAATCTCTTCAATAATTAGGGAAGAAAAATACTGAAGTGTTGAGCAAATCCGAGGAAGAATCAAATGTAGTTGTAGAAGATCTTGCCTCAGAATTTTCGGAACTAGTTGAGAATTATCTTATGTTAGGATTGGAGAATAACCCAGAATAACAGCTTACAGATGACATTTGTGATTATTGTGCGTATTAGCAAAAATCGTACAAAAATGTTGCTGTATTAAACTAACTATTCCCATCATCAATACCTTCAAGTATTTTTTACGGTGATTATGATTTCGAAATTACAATATTACTAGTTCATATCTCGTATGAAGTTAGCATACAAAGCCATTAGATGTTGGGAATTTTGGAAGGGGATTACAACATCAGCTACTACTATTCATTGGTCAGTTCAACGCCAGATACTTTAAGAACTTATTTGAACAAAGCAACGCATGAATTAAATGAAGCATTAAAGACCTTTCAAACACATGACAAAATTTTTAAAAGAGATTACAGCGTCAGCGACGCCACATTCAATTAATTATTATTACAAGTTACAATATTTTAATAATATTGATATCCTCTTCCTTGTTGCGAACAAAATTGAAATAGAAGCGTTACTTTCATCATAACCTAAGATATGAAACTTTTATTAAAACGTGTATAATGTATAAGATTAATTAGAATATGAACTTTTGGTATATTTTCAAGAATTTTGAAATAATAGCTGTTAGGATAATATATTTTAATGAAATATCTAACAATTACACTCGATAGAATATAGCAAAAATACCTTTTTTATGACCTAGAAACGTACATAAGAATTTTTCAAATTAAGGACATTGCGGCTCAACTGCAAAGCTTTAACTTTTATCTGAACTTTATATCGAGGAATGAACTTAAACTTATGCTTAAACACGCATTTCCAAAACTATTAATCAAGGCACTCGAGGTACCCGATCATTATTTCAAATGTGAATCTTCCATGAAAAGTTCAGTCGTACAGTAGGGGCAGCCAACATGGCGGACGTATGGTAAGGACTATCTAGAACGGGTTGCAAATCAATGGAGGCGTGGAAATCTCTTCGCTGCTCGGCTGCGAACGCCCACGCGGCGGCCACAGCTCTTCCTGTGTGAGTTGGCGGGGCGGGGCCACGAGGCTGCGGGGGCTGAGGCGGGGAGCGGCGGCGCGGGCGCGCCGCGGCAGCAAAGTGTATGTATAACGGTAATTGGCGCGGATTCAGAGACGCATTAGTGCGGCGCCGCGACGCTTTACACTGGGCAGCCAGATCCGCTCGCCCGCGGTCCGCTGACCCGCGCCCGCGCGCCGCGCCGCCCCACTTTACCCTTCGGGCAGCGAGAATCCGGGGCACGAAGCGCAAAGTCACATCGACGCGAATCGCGCACTTGGTCCCTCGTCAGTTTCGTTCTAACACAGATTTCAAAACGCTATTTTGCCTCGTTTGCTGATAACTTTGTCTTGTATAGTTCGACCTTCGCTCGCGGGTCGATTGTTGGCGTTGACGTGGCATTTCTAATTCACTAATTGGGGTATAAACATCCTTTTTCTGACTTAGGCGCATAATTTTCATCCAAGTTTATATGCCGAAGTTAGTTATTTGCTAAAAATAATATTTATATGGTTTTGGGCGGTTTTCGCAGGACGGGTCAGAAGTAGGTGAGCCGAAAGTTTTGGCCTAGCGACAGAATGCTTCTACTGGAAATTAGGCATTTAAAGAGCGTGCCTGTCGTAATCAATACTATTGCTCATAACCATTTGTCATATGATTCTGTATGCCAGATAAGAGTACTTATTAATAGCCGTAACACTGAACTTTGGACATTAATTGACCGCTTGGCATAATTGGAGCGTGTTGAGGTATGGGTAATCAGGGTTTCACGGCCTTCGTAATGCGCCAATTTGCGGACACGCGACCGCGCTGGATTTCTTCTCTTACGTTCGAATGACTCCGCATTGTTAGGCCTCGAGACAATCAATCCGTCCGCCCTCGCCTGTCTTCTCACCCCATCCAGTGCCCCCTGTATATAACGCCCTCAGTGCGTTCCGTTGACCCCTTGGCTCCAGCATGCACACTTGGTGGTGGGGTAGCTGCGCTGTTGCTACTAGCCATCGTCAAATCGCGCGCTACCATTGGCTGCCACCCGTCGCATCGCTTCCTTTTGTCCGGCCCACAAAACAAAAACACCCCATTCCGCGCGTATGACCATCCGTACGTCCGTGCGGAATCACTGTGACCACTTTACCCCGACCGACAGCCCTTTTGCTGGTCATTTAGTTTCTCCCCGTCAGTAAAAACTACTCGCAACACCACACCCTACCAGACCTCCCCCCCCCCCCAACCCGCGCCGAACCATCCCGAATCCCAAGGTGGTTCTCCCAAGCAGTCTGACCTCACATCTACACCGAATCTTGCGTCGACTGTTTTGTCACTCCTGGCTGTTACGTTTGGGCAGTGTGCTCTTCTTCCTTTCCCTTACTCTCTTCTACCGGTGTGTCTGACCACTCAGCCGTCCGCTCACCAGAACCACGCTTTCTGGCCTTATACTGCTTCCTCATGTTCTCCTCACCCTGCAACCGCTATTCGCGTCCATGAGTCGCGAGCTTTCAGGTTTTGGTAACCATCGGTACACGTGAAATGTCATCCGTACTCTATTTAGTATATATCTTATATATATTTTGACTCCAATCAATAAGAATGTTTACTAGGCGTTTCATCCAGCCGGTAGCCGGTTACCCTTTAAGCGTTCCGATCATGGGACACTTTTCGACCTTACACGACACCAAACATACTGTGCGAGGTCCGCTGATTTGGGGTCAGCAGAGCGCAGGTCTTCAAGACAACACATACATGAGAATGGACAAGGGCAACAACATGCTCAGGGAACGCTGAGTCCGTACACGCTCTTAGTGACTTGGTAAACCAGATCGGCTTCAAAAGAGATTCTCAAACTAAATAATCTTATAGGTATTGGGTGGAATATCTTTGCCATTTTTAAAATAATTAAAGATGTTGTCATTGCAAACATATTTTTAATTCAATAGCAGCTTTCGATGTGCTTAGCCATAGTATCAGGTTGTCTGCTAGATGGAAGCCACAAACGACTACCTAGGGGAAGGGGTAGTCGTTTGTGGCTTCCATCTAGCAGACAACTGAGGAACTGATGGCTAAGCCATCGAAAGCTGCTATTGAAATTAAAATATGTTGGCAATACGACATCTTTAATTATTTTAAATAATCTTACTTATCTTCATCACTTTTGTAATTTCCCTCAGCCAACAAGTTCCAGCAGATATTCTTTTGCACCTGATATTTGTCATCACTTCTCTTGCTATTTGCACCTCCCTCTGTCCCCCACGACTCCTCGGCGCTCCCCCCCCCCCACTCCATCTATATGACGCCTCTCCGCCGGAGGAGGCCCAGCGCCTTCCCTCTCGACCCCTCGCTATCCCCCCTCGCCACCTCCGCTTCGGCCTCAAAGCCTCACCCGCCGCCCCGGCAAATTGTGGATTTTCGGGTAGTGATTGCTGCAGCACCTCTCCCATTGGGGAGTGTGCTTTACATAGAGTTCTGCGTAATACTAAAGTGGTTAGCGTGACTGGGTTACATTTCAAATATCGTGTCTCTCGTTCGGGCTCTAATCCCATTTGATTGGCTGACATTTTCCTTCTCCATTTTGTGGGAGTGATATGTTACCAGGAAAGCGACCGTGTCGGCAAACATAAGAACTCTAGAACACGATTTCTATCGTGAGGATTTTCTCGTATAATAATGAGGTGGGAACACAGCCATCTTAAAGAGCTCTAATAAACCCCATAATCCTAAATGTTTAAAAGTGCTAGAGGAGCAAAAGTCACGAGAAATCTTTTTCAGGATAATGCGGAGCAGGCAAGGAATTTTAATATTCCAATTAGAAGGTAAAATTTTATGCAAACTTTTGGTGTAGAAATTGTGAGCAACTTTGTTATTTGTACTAGGGTGGAAAATGTCAATATAAAAGACGAAAGTTTGAATCTTGATAGCAAAATGTCGGTAAAACGTGTGCCAGCGAAGCGAATCAATTTATTTTATTGCGGAGTATAAGGAATTGGAAATTTTGTATTGTTCAGAAACCATTATGTTTTACATTATATTAACCTTGAACGTAGGCCGCTCAGGGTAACATGACACTGCAATGCTTCTGACCGGGAGATCCTAGGGTTTGAGTCCCATACGGTGGCAGATATTCGACACTAGCTACAAAGCTAGGGCGAATTCAACCTGTGTTGGGAGAACTCAAACGACCGGCTGCTTTGCTCGCTAGTTTCCCGTGGTTTCTCCGCACTACATCAACACTAGCCGAATGCCAGAGCAGTACCTAAAAAAATGGCCACAGGCCGCGTACGATCTTTCCTTCCTCCTCCTTGTCCTGCCCTCTCCCCTTATTTACACAAACTTACAATCACCAGCACTACACTATCGCTCATATTGGGAGATCTTTCGGGAGCTTATAGTTATATTCTTGTCTGAGGCGACGCCCGTGGTGAGAGATACCTAGTTGGAAAAACACTGCATGCCGACGTGTTGGTCGACGCCGGATCACGCCACTAGTACACTACACTTACAGGGCTAATAAAATTAGCAGTTGACACGCCCGGAATCACTAATCCATCAATCGGAGGTGAAAGGCCGGTTACCTGCCATTCACTTGGAAACACGCTAACGAAGCGAGTAAAATATACAGCATGAAATTGGCATTATTTATACAAATAAACATCTAACTCCACACAAGTATTTTAACACGTACAATTTTTTACATCATCGCCACCTACAATGCACACTTTAGCTGTAGGTCAAAAAATTACGTGCCCGCCCCATTCCAAAATCTGCCCTTTGCATCTCCGTCATTGACGTGGAAAATCAAGGGTCGGCGTTCCTTCAAATATGAAGGGGTCAGGGATCAGATTGAGCATATAGACTGAGAGCGCTGAGCCTGAACGCCCCCGAGCGGAGGGCTGTGTACTTCCGACTCAGGAAGCCCCTTCCGGGGCAAATGGAGCGGATAAATTCCTCGAGCAAGTAGGAAGGGCGCCAGCACCATTGTTTCTTCCCCAAGCGCTTAATCCTACGATGGGAAACGTGCTGGAAAAGTTCATAAATGGGAACATGGGGAAGGGAGGCCGTCCTCTTTTGCGAACCAATTCTAAGAGATTTTTTATTAAAAAATGTGCGCCCAAATATTACCCACAAACAGCACTCCTGGAGAATATTTCTAAAGATGTAGTTCGGTTCACTCAACGCTTTTACGTTTCACAATGCAAAATTGAAAATGCATCTTAATGTTAATAAAAAATAAAAATAGCTATTTATCTTACAAGTGGCTAAAAGATACCGTGTGTGCACATACATTGATTAAACACGATCGCTTATCACAACTGTATAATTACTAACGAGATTTAACAGACTTCTAATTACGTGTAATATACATTTTGTCTTATTCTATCGCTATATTACATTTTGACATACACGTATTTTTTAACTCCATGAATATACGGTTATTGGTATTATATTAACTTCGGCAGTACCCTTTTTACACCAGAAGTAATAATGCATTTTAATTTACCCCGAACAGTATGTGAACAGCGTATGAAGATATAATATGACACCTTTCTTTGTAGGTAAAGAAACATGTTAATTGTTTCTAAATTATGGTGTAACCTAATGTACGTGTATTTTGACCTTAGATTCACAGTCTCAATCGTATTACAAACTAATTGATAGTTCTAACACTGTTTTTCTCTTCTTCTATATATTTTTATTCGTATTTTGTTGCATTCTTCAGTGTATTGAGTTTATAACTTGCGGATTATGACTAGGTTTATTCATTTGAGAGAGATTGGACAACCCGGATAATGTACAATAATTTATTACAGATACATTCCACGAAACATTAATACTAATTCTAATTCATGAGACCACGAGTCTTAGCATTAGAATAATTAATTTGAAATTTTACACTTTCCGATTAAAAATTAAAAATATTAATATAATAATAGCAATAATAATTTCTTGACTAATTTTTTAATTGTATATTACTCATATTTGTAATCTGTTTTGAATCTTATTCGCTAATCGGTCACAAATTGGTGCTTGACATGCGTAAATATCTTTCAAATGATTTACGGAAAAAATATGTACACATAAGCAGCAGGACTCCCTTTCCCCACAGTAATTATTAAGATTACATGGATGTATAAAAAATAAATATACTATCGTATTATTAAAAAATTGTATCATTCACATTTTTTGAAGTTTAATATTTATTCATTTTTAAAATGAAAAGAAAAATGCGTTTCAGTAGTGGCTACATAATGTTACTCAAACGTCACCAATGTTTCTCTTAAAGTTTAGTAAAGAAGGATGACTGAATTTCATTAAATTTTGAAAGCTTCTCTTTCATTATAGACGCCAAATGTATTGAATTAAATGACAGTACTATACGAATATTAGTTTAAAAGACACAGAACAAGACATTATTTCGTCCTACCCAAAATATTAAATTGATTCGTAATTCACAAGAAATTAAATCAAGCATAAATTTCCAAACCAGTGTTTACTCTCACGTCACCGGTCTGCGTTGTTCCCTCTTATCTCTTCCCATTTCACTTTGCCTCCCCTCTGCCTACCCCAGCCCTCCCTGAGAAGAGGCTCAGCAAACTCGCGCAAATGAACGTGTTAGAGGGCGTCCGTGCCATTTCCGACTTGTTCACGTCGCTCCCATTGTTCAGGTTCGCGTGGTAATTACAGGAGACCGACGCCAGCCCGCTGAAGGAGCTCACCACCCCCCGGCCCCGCCCCCAGCCCGGGCTGCGCCGACCCGTCCAAAACCCGCCAGCTCCGCAGCGTCGCCCCCGCCGCGCCCCGACCTGCTCCGCCCGCAGCGCTCAAGGCCTTCTCCTCCTCTCAACAGCGTTGCATTCCGCTCTCTGCCTACCTTCCTGTCCGCAACTCGCGCTGCAGCCGGGAGCCAGGAGCCGGGAGTCAGGAGCCGGGAGTCAGGAGCCGGGAGTCAGGAGCCGGGAGCCAGGAGCCGGGAGCCAGGAGCCGGGAGCCAGGAGCCAGGAGCTGGGAGCCAGAAGCCGGGAGCCAGGAGCCGGGAGCCAGAAGATCGGCTCCCAACCCACGCTCCCGGCTCCTAGCATTTAGCTCTGGTATTATCGCTCCCGGCTCCCTGCTCCCGGTTTCCCGTTCCGAACATCCGGCTCCCGGTTCATGGCTCCTGGCACCCGGACCCCTACTTACGGCTTTCTGCACCGACTCTCGGCACTTGGCTCCCGGTTCCCGTGTGACTCCACCTCTAGTACCTGACTCCAATCTCTCGGTTCCCTCTTCCCATCACCCCCATCCCGTCCCCGGCCGCGTCTGTGTGAACCTTCCAACCTTCACCAGATGGATGTGTTCTGCCCACGGATGTTCTCCCATGAATGTGCGTAGCCCTCCCGTGGATATTCAGCCCCTTTCACCGTATATTTTCCTCGTCCTGGTCCATCCAACTTCACGGCTCCGACATCAGACCTTCGTTTCTCTCCTTTGCTCTCGCCGTAACGTCCGACAACCTCACGTTTAGGGCGTCTTCATCCCCCTCCTCGTCCACTGCTCTTTAGCCGCTCTAACCGTCTCTCATCCGCTGCTCTTGCTTGGCGCGTGCCTCTCCACCTGAACATACAGAGTTGTAATTGATTCTAGGCGCGACGTCTAAGGTAATTGATCCTAGGAGTTAAGTACATGTTATATCCCGGGGCGGTGTTCTTCTCGCACTGGAACATGAAGTCCGACGCGAACCTAAACTCGATTTGCGGTTTTTTCTCGTCAGATATTTCCCTGCAGTGTGGTATCGTCCCAGCTGGAACAAACTATAAGCTCCCGACTGGTCTCCTGATATGTATGGTAATGTAGTGCATGCAAGTGTAAATGCATATACGAAGGGGAAAAGATGTGAGGGAGAATAAGGAAGGGAAGATCGCGTATGGCCCTTAGTCCGTTTGTTAGAGTACAATATTAGTATTCACCTGGTATTCATAAATAAGGAAATAGACAAAAAATAAAAGATAGAAAACATTAGAAATTACGAATGAAAGCACCAGTTGCTAGAATTCTCCACCAGAGTGTATCGACCAATCTACCTAACTAGTGTCAAAAATCCACCATCGTCGAGAATCAAACTTCAGCACTCTCGATTAACAATGCATATTTGTTTCTGTTGAGCTATTGCTGCTGGCCTCTTCACTTTGGTCCATATGCATTTCCTTCTGAGATCCCGTCGTCGTATGTACTACGCACATCAATTCTTTTTTCTTCGTCCACATTGCGTTTTTGATTTTTTTTCACCTTCCCTCTCGACCCAGGCAAAGATTGTACCTCTAGGCTGTGTCAGACCGAATTTACGTTCAATCGATTTGCTAGTTCCTTCAGCCGTTTACTCCGTCCCTCACACAATCACCGCTTACAGCTCCTCCACCATCATTACCAGTCCCGCCACCGCCTCTTTCGAGAACGCACCCATGGGAGAATCTCTGCTCTCGAGACCGCAGCGCTCTTCAACGGCAGGTCGGCGAACCCCGCCCGTCGCCGCCTCTCCTACCCCCCTTCCTCCCTCACCCGCCCCATTCCCAGGCCCCTTGTCACCGTCAGAACGCGCTGCGCCCCAAACAACTGACAGCGCCGACGGAGCCTTAATCAAACGATTCCGAGACACTGGACAAACTCATTATGAAAGTTGCCGCGCGATGCGGCGCCGCGCTGCATGGCCCGGCCAAGCCAAGCCAAGCCAAGCCAAGCCAAGCCAGCCCAAGCCAGGCCAGGCTAGGCCCGGCGCCTTGCGCGGGTTTTCGGCGCAATGGCGAACCGCATCCGATAGAGAGGGAGGTACAGTCTAGGGCCTATACATTCACTATTGGAACTGTCGGCAAAACTACACGGGGCACGGGTAGGGCGCTACCGTCGCTCACTGCGGATTTGAAAAATACTTCATAACTTTATGCATATTTCATAACTTAACGCGGCAACATTTGGCGCATTTGCAGAAAACATGAAATATATGTGAAACAATAATAGTAAATAGTAATAATAATAATAATAATAATAATAATAATAATAAATAATTATAATATGTACATTAAAAATGGTGTTTATATAAAGCGTGAACACCAGGGCTGTTTTTTTTTCCCATCAGCCCATAACCGGGAATCGCGCCTCCTCCACAACGTTTGCAGCAGTATTTAGAACCTGTGAGAAGAGTCAACGGTAGACAGCGTGACGATAAAGTGGCGCTGCTAGCTTAGTTCAGGGTTGAAGGGATCTGCGTACACTCATTACGTGGTAACGGGGCTGGACGAGTAATGATTCACATTCAAAATACACAGATGAAGAAAGAAAATATCTGATAATTTTGTATTTCAATAACATTTAATGACGGTGATTTACATTTTACTTATTTATTCCAAATGAATGTGTAAAGGTGGATGGTGCGCGTTTACTATAACTACTAATCAAAGTGCATTAAAAACTGTTTATCGTGTGAAAGTGTGTTCGAGCCCAAATACAGCTGGAAATGCAAGTTTCAAGATCATTGTGAAGTCACTGGTGCAGTGGACGCAAACAAGGTGAGTCAGCTAAAAGTAGTAATCCAAAAGCAGAACTTGCAACCAAAGTAGTTTGTTTACTCTAGCGTTTTATATCTTACTTCCAAGTCAGAAAAAATTTAATTTCGAATGTTAATTTCAATTTTGTTAAAATTATTGACCATTTACATTTTACGAATTATTTATACAAAAACTTATGTCTTTTATTCCTATCGTTCCACACTTGAAGCAATCGGCTAGATTGCTTCAAGATATTCTAGATAACATGGTGAACCTTCGAACAGAGTGGTTGCTTACTTGATTTGATCTCATTACTTACATATCTAAATATTTTCATCTGCTTCTGCATTGCTTGGAGCATATCAAAATAATTCTTTGGGTAGCTAGAGAATAAAATTTGTGTTCCTATTCCCCAACGATGTGCATTTAACCATCAATCAATTAATGTAATCAGAAAGAGAATTAAATTACAATTCACTTGGACCTACACGTTTATATTAATATGTACATTTGGTATTTAATTAATTTATTACTTTGCCACATTCTGAGATTGTTGGATTTTTTGTTTTTGGCGGAAAGTGCATTGCCTGCATACACAGATTTAATCTTTCTACCTTTCCGTGTGCGACCTCGCAAGTCTGTGTTAGGTGTTCACGGCTAAGCATGCATTAAGTGATTCCGAGTTGGAAACTACCGAGATCATGCAAGTGACGATAATATTAACAACCTACAATTGCTTTAATACGTAATAGATCTTCGTACATTTTGATACGGAATAGAAAATCACGTTTTTCTTACTTCATTGAGCTACTAGAGCATGTTCTTCCTTTCCTGGCGTACGGCATTTTAAACAGGCACTTAAATGGAAACTTCGAAGTTTTTAATGTACGTTATCTTTTGTATTGCTATCTTGCATTAATTTTCTACTTACGCGTTCATTTGTTTCTGTATTTGCTTGTAGCAAAGCAAACTAATTCTTCGTGAAGTGAGACTAGTTTTCTTAAAACGTGCGCGTAAAAATTTTGTTCTTATTGCACAAGGGAATGTATATATTAATTAATCATTTACGGTAATAAGAAAACAATTACACTTTACTTGGAGTCACTGGTATGTACTACAAAGTAATGTTGTCCTTTGATTAATTAAATTATTATATACATCAATATTAGTTCCACTGTTTTATTGTTAGAGTTTTTAGTGTTTGGTGGAAAGTGAGTTTCCCTGCGCGCGCAGGTTTTACCTTTGAAACTTGCATTTCCAGCTGTATTTGGGCTCGAACACACTTTCACACGAGAAACAGTTTTTAATGCACGTTGATTAGTAGTTATAGTAAACGCGCACCATCCACCTTTACACATTCATTTGGAATAAATAAGTAAGCAACCTCGCCCTCGAGTGTCAGCAGTAACAGTGCACTCGGCTGAGCGGGGGTTCACTGATACTAAGGTGGAACTTGCTGACGTCATGCCAGAGAGGGTAGTGATAACATTTCTTTAAAAAGCTAAAATTTAATTTGTTAAACCTTTATCGTGGTAATTTGCAGATGTTGGTAGGAAACAGCTAAGGTTCAATACCGCCCGTTTCTACCTTTAATGACATTGATACTGGATATGTCTAGACGTGCAGTGATTTCAATAGAAAATTGATGATGAAGTATAAGAGGAAACTAAGAACGCAACAACGTAATAATTGATCTAAAATAGTAAGTTAATGAGTTCGCGAATCAGTTCTCCCACGTATTTGTACTATTTTTTTAACACGCCATGTTTGATACATGATTTGCAAAACATGTGTGAGAATGTATCATGTTTGCCCGAGTCAATAGGTTTCAGTCAAAGATCTTCACAATTACTGCGAAAGCTCTTGAAAAACATTTACTTTTAAACATAATGTATTTGCATTCGGAATGTGAATTTGTCAAAAAATTGTTACGGAAACGTTTTGTATCTAATAATTACGAGGCCTGATAATGTTAAAAATTAAATTGTGCAACAGATTTTTCATTGCATAGTAGGAATATATAAATAAGTAGTAAACATTTTAAAAAATAGTTTGGATCCGAATAATTGTCCAAAACTTTCACATTATTTCATTCTTTTACTTAATCTTAACTTAAATCTTAACTTAAATTGTTATTGTAAGATCAATATTATTTGAATAACTCACGATATATATTTAATGTAGGTTCAAATGCAAACTGATATAAAATATTAATTGGTCTCTTAATACCAACGTATTTGCTGGCCCCACTTCGCAGTTTTCTCGTTACGTTGCTGACACCTACAATCTTTCTCTAGGGCCTACAATTCTTCTCTATGGTCTACAATCCTTCTCACCGGCCTACGGGGGCTTTCCTGATCACGCCCATCATGCCGTGTGAAGCAGACTGATATGCTGATATGCAGTGTATGTACGTAATGTAAGGGCGAGGGGTATCGACGAGGATGAGAAACAGTTCGAACTCGGTCAGTGACCCATTTGTTAGTATTCTGCTCCGGCAATACCCAGGTATTGATCGTGGAAACCCTGGTAAAATACCGATCAATCAACCAATCAAACCAGGAATTCTGAAATGCTTCCCCAGACAGATGAATTCATAGCTTTCTTCCTCAAGTCGGAAAATCCGCCAGTTTCCCTAGAACCTCCGGCCAGTCTTTGCAGTGGCAGTAGTTGCTGCTCTGAGCTAAATCGGTTGGAAACGGGTAACTGCCTCACGAGGGAGGCCAGTTAGAAGGTAACTACTCGGAGAGCTCCTGCTGCGCGCAATTTTGGCAATATTAGCCCTCGGCAGGCAGGCAGACCGGCTCCCTCCCGTCGGTCGTGACGTGAACGCCCTGCATCGCGCCGCGCCTCCTGCCTTGTCCTGCGGCTCCGCGGCCTTCGATATCTGCCAATATCGCTCTTGAAAGCTCTGCCAGTCTTCATTATTCTTTCATTGCGCGGGAAGAAACGTCCGCTGCAATGGCACGAGAGCTTGAGGAGCGGAAGGGCCGGGAAGGGCCGGGGAAGGCAGGCGAAGGCAGGGCGCGGCAGCTTGGGCTATTTCGGTCGCCTTCAGGAGCTTTACCGGCTTTGACGCGTCCTCCAAGTCTCCGGCGACTGCTGCTGCCTGCCTCGAGCGGCGGAGGCGAAGAGAGGGGAGGGGAGGGGTGCTGGTTGCCACGCCCTAGAGGTCCACGCCCTACCTCGCTCCAAACGGCCTGTGAGAATTTAAGGAAATGCGAGTTTTTGAAAACGATTACAATACACCGTATTTTCGCGAATCTAGTGGGTCATCGAATTTAACGCAAACGAATTCAATATGTGAAACTTACAATTATGGAAAAATAGTTTGTATTGTATGTAATGCGCATCAATAACAGAATAATAGGTACGGTATTTTATTTAAATTTATCTAATACAACCGTGGATAAAAAGACGATATTATTTGTTTGCTCTCCTTATCCTAACTAATTTCCTCAATAAAATGCCAATGATAAATGAAACAAATTGAATTTTTAATCTCTAGCAACCTATTGTGTCGTAATAAACGAAAAAAATGAAGTTGCTGGGGTTCTACGGAACGGATTTGTATTCGAATATAATGCGCAATTGAATTGATTGCGAATCACGTTTTTTAGTGCTACAGTTGGTAAAAAAGGTGCGTTTTAGATCCGCAAAATACGGTATATAATTAAAAGTTTTAATAATAACTCAATTTTCTTGAAGGCAATTTTTGTTCGAAAAACTGGATATGCCATTCTTTGTGAAAGTCGAAAGAATCTGGGTCATTGTTTTTGAAACGGGAACTTCTGGACACCTGTTTTTATAGCAACTTTTTAATTTCCATCTAAACCAGTAATGGTGTCTATATAAAAGCAATAAAGGAGATAAAGATACATTAAAATTGATCATTAATTTGATAATTGTAGAATTTACTTGTGGCCTCTTGAAGCAAAAATACTGCCAAACAAACCACATAGAATGGTTGTTCGAAACAACATGTACACTGCTCAAGGACAACAAATAAAATATTATCAGACAACACAGCAATAAATTGAATATTTTTTCAAAAACTCTTCACAAATAGTGCAATAACGTAGTGTAGTATAAATACAGTACATCGATCTTTTTATACCAGGAATATCACATAGAAATATAGAAAACATAGAGCGCAATGTGTGTAATGTGTAATATTTATAATATTAATAATATTATAAATATTATGGCGAGTGACCTCTTCCTTGCAGTCTTGCTGTCACATGACGTCGATTGTGTCGTAAGCAGTGATGCCCCAAGTGGGATAATCTAGTTGGTTCGCGCAGTAGAATGGGAATTGGCAGAATAGCACAATCAAATATTTCCATTTTCAGTCAAAATGTAAACTCTCATTTTTTAATTTTTTATGAGTTTCTGAGCATCTAGCGAAACCATCTTACATGCCGGAAGCTGTATAGTTTTATTTCAATTTCTGGGCACATTGGATATTAGTTATGTATATACAAGTCCGTTTATAACCATCTCTCTGTTTTACGGGGTATGTATGACATTTGGTCGGGGTCATAACTGAACGGAGAGTGGATGAAAAGAAATGAATAGAAAAAGGAAACAAAGAATATTCACAGCATATATTATGAAAATGAGCAATGATGTATGATGAAGGATGACGTTCATTCTAAAAAATTAAGAGAACATTGAATGCAAACAATGAACCAATCTACTGCCTAAGTACCTGAAGAAGAATAAGTAATCGTGTTTACTGTAGGCACAATTTACAATATATTTAAATATTCAACTTGATTCTAATGAAAAATGTAACAATATAAGTTTATAAAAAATTATTCCAAAGAAACCATAAAAATATTTCAATATATTTATTGGGTATTGAAACTTTAGTCTATTTTTTTCATGAAAAATTATTATAAAAGCTTTAGCTATTTGATAAAAAAATGTTTTGAAACAAACTTTTGATGTAATCAATTAAAGAATGATCGGGTAAATTACTTTTTGTTTAGATGGTTATTTGAAAGCTAATTTATTATTTTTCGGACATTTGTTGCGAAAATATTCTGGTGGTAAAAGATATAATAATTGTATATACTTACTCTCCGGAAATGTTTTTACACATTTGCAACGCATTTAAAAACTTTTTATGACAAATTATATATTGCTTGTACAGAAGCACAGAAGATGCACTGCAATGAAACTCAGATCTGTCACTCTTTCAGAACCGAGTTTCAAAGTAGGAGACACTGTCATACTACAAATACGTTATCAAGCACTCGTGAATTTCAATTGAGTAATATTATACAGTATTATAGTTTAGTATAAACGTGATTTTGATTCTTATCCACAGCAATACATTTATGGTTTAACAGACGACATATTTATTTTGTCTCTCGCAGGGTTTTCAGTGCAGCTTCCAGGAAGACGTAATCTGCTTTCCCCGAACTTTCCCGTTTCCTGACCGCATGCATTTTGTTCAGTGTATTTTTGGTGACAGAATGCACAAAACTGTCAAACTTACTCCCGAAGTAATTTAGTGCTACCATGACATTTTTCATACGTGGCCACCTAAAATATTTTATTTGCATGAATATAGTAAAGGGAACTTCGTGGAATAGGTAGTCATAAATATGCCATCATTCACAAAACCCTTCAAACAGCTCGACTGGTTTAATGTGATTGCGCGTTTAAAGAATACTAGAACATTTTGGAAAAGAAAGTAAATTTTTCAATTTGTTTGATTTTAAATTGATTTATCCGATGTGACCAAACAATGTGGAAGCTCTCAAATAATAAACAAAAACGTCACTTTTAGTAAAATTTGTAAAGGTTCTCTCTCGTTTAGTTTGATCACAGGATGTGTTAACATGACAAGCAAATGTACCCAATATTGAAAGTGGCACGTGGAGATGATTTTCAATGTTATATCGTAATTATTTTTGTTATGATTGCAAGTTCATCACAGGTTTAGATCTCTGTTCTCTAATACAATACAGAAACTGTCCGCACTAGGTCATAGATTAGAAAGAAGATTCAAGAGCATTTGGCATGTGTTATTTTATGCGCAGAATCGTATGCAGTGTAGGAGATCTGAAACGAACTTAATTACGAGCATTATTCGTAGTATTTTCAATTTCATAGGTATCCTTTGTCTCTTATTTCAACTAATGAGTTATTTCTAAATAATCTATTTCGTTATATTTCAAAGTGATTTAATAAGACATTTTGGGAATGAATCGAGGTTTAAAGAGTGTTTCCGATCGTCCAAGGGAGCTTGTGTCGCTTTAAGTTTTTAGTTTTTAAGGAAATAATTATTTCTATAAAGAGAAGGCTTCTTGAAAATAGTGTGTCTCGATAAAATAAATGTTGCAAA